CGGAAAAAAAATCCCCCCAGTACCAACAATACCACCAGTCCGATAACATTCTTCTTGGCAAATATACAGGGTCTAAAGCCAGCAACAAACAACAAAAAATACCTTTCATCCGTGGACTGCTTGCAGAGGCAAAGGCAATGTTCGCGGCTTTCACTGAGACCCACATAAAGGATCACTTGGACAACGAAATATGGATCCCAGGTTACAACCTATACAGATGTGACAGAGTGAACAGGCAAAAGGGGGGGGTTGGCCTGTACATTGCAGAGTCACTTGTTTGCACAGAACTGCTAAATGCCTCAAATGATGTAGTGGAAGTTTTAGCAGTAAAGGTCGAGAACCAAAACCTAGTCATTGTGGTAGTCTACAAGCCTCCGGATGCAACATCCCAGCAATTCCAGGAACAGCTGTTAAAAATTGACCACTGTCTGGAAAATCTTCCAGCTCCTGCACCCAACATCTTGCTCCTGGGGGATTTCAACTTAAGGCACCTAAAATGGAGGAATATAGCAAATAATATTGTTGCAGTAATAACACCAGGAGGCAGCTCTGATGAAAACTCACTCTCACACTCACTCGAGCTTTTAAATCTCTGCACAAAATTCAATTTAAACCAGCAAATAATAGTGCCTACTAGACTGGAGAATACACTAGACCTCATCTTCACTAACAATGATGATCTGATAAGAAATGTCACCATATCAAAAACAATATACTCAGATCACAACATAATTGAGGTTGTCATGTATGCGCGGAGCCCCAGACCGACATAATGAGATTAGTCACGAGGGAGCATTCACCAAATTCAACTTCAATAACAAAAACATAAAGTGGGACCAAGTAAACCAAGTCCTAACCGATATAAGCTGGGAAGATATACTAAGCAACACAGACCCCCAACTTATGCCTAGAACAGATTAACTCGGTGGCACTCGATGTATGCACAAGGCTTATTCCTCTAAGAAAAAGGAGGAGTAGATGTAAAATAGAAAGAGACAGGCGCTCCCTTTACAGGCGACGGAAAAGAATAACAGAGCGGCTAAAAGAGGTCAATATATCTGAAATGCGTAGGGAGACACTGGTCAGAGAAATAGCAAGCATCGAACTTAAGCTAAAGAATCCTTTAGGAGTCAGAATCGCGGGAAGAACTAAAAAGCCATAAATGAAATCGAAAGAAACCCAAAGTATTTCTTCTCCTATGCCAAATCAAAATCGAGAAAAACGTCCAGTATTGGGCCCCTACTTAAACAAGATGGGTCCTACACAGATGACAGCAAGGAAATGAGTGAGCTACTCAAGTCCCAATATGACTCAGTTTTTAGCAAGCCGCTAACCAGACTGAGAGTCGAAGATCAAAATTAATTTTTTATGAGAGAGCCACAAAATTTGATTAACACAAGCCTATCCGATGTTATCCTGACGCCAAATGACTTCGAACAGGCGATAAATGACATGCCCATGCACTCTGCCCCAGGGCCAGACTCGTGGAACTCTGTGTTCATCAAGAACTGCAAGAAGCCCCTATCACGAGCCTTTTCCATCCTATGGAGAGGGAGCATGGACACTGGGGTCGTCCCACAGTTACTAAAAACAACAGACATAGCCCCACTCCACAAAGGGGGCAGTAAAGCAACAGCAAAGAACTACAGACCAATAGCACTAACATCCCATATCATAAAAAATCTTTGAAAGGGTCCTAAGAAGCAAGATCACCACCCATCTAGAAACCCATCAGTTACACAACCCAGGGCAACATGGGTTTAGAACAGGACGCTCCTGTCTGTCTCAACTATTGGATCACTACGACAAGGTCCTAAATGCACTAGAAGACAAAAAGAATGCAGATGTAATATATACAGACTTTGCAAAAGCCTTCGACAAGTGTGACCATGGCGTAATAGCGCACAAAATGCGTGCTAAAGGAATAACAGGAAAAGTCGGTCGATGGATCTATAATTTCCTCACTAACAGAACACAGAGTAGTCGTCACCAGAGTAAAGTCCGAGGCAGCTACAGTGAAAAGCTCTGTTCCACAAGGCACAGTACTCGCTCCCATCTTGTTCCTCATCCTCATATCCGACATAGACAAGGATGTCAGGCACAGCACCGTGTCTTCCTTTGCAGATAACACCCGAATCTGCATGACAGTGTCTTCCATTGCAGACACTGCAAAGCTCCAGGCGGACATCAACCAAATCTTTCAGTGGGCTGCAGAAAACAATATGAAGTTCAACGATGAGAAATTTCAATTACTCAGATATGGTAAACATGAGGAAATTAAATCTTCATCAGAGTACAAAACAAATTCTGGCCACTAAATAGAGCGAAACACCAACGTCAAAGACCTGGGAGTGATCATGTCGGAGGATCTCACCTTCAAGGACCATAACATTGTATCAATCGCATTTGCTAGAAAAATGACAGGATGGATAATGAGAACCTTCAAAACTAGGGAGGCCAAGCCCATGATGACACTCTTCAGGTCACTTGTTCTATCTAGGCTGGAATATTGCTGCACACTAACAGCACCTTTCAAGGCAGGTGAAATTGCCAACCTAGAAAATGTACAGAGAACTTTCACGGCGCGCATAACGGAGATAAAACACCTCAATTATTGGGAGCGCTTGAGGTTCCTAAACCTGTATTCCCTGGAACGCAGGAGGGAGAGATACATGATTATATACACCTGGAAAATCCTAGAGGGACTAGTACCGAACTTGCACATGAAAATCACTCGCTACGAAAGCAAAAGACTTGGTAGACGATGCACCATCCCCCCAATGAAAAGCAGGGGTGTCACTAGCACGTTAAGAGACCATACAATAAGTGTCAGGGGCCCGAGACTGTTCAACTGCCTCCCAGCACACATAAGGGGGATTACCAACAGACCCCTGGCAGTCTTCAAGCTGGCACTGGACAAGCACCTAAAGTCAGTTCCTGATCAGCCGGGCTGTGGCTCGTACGTTGATTTGCGTGCAGCCAGCAGCAACAGCCTGGTTGATCAGGCTCTGATCCACCAGGAGGCCTGGTCACAGACCGGGCCGCGGGGGCGTTGACCCCCGGAACTCTCTCCAGGTAAACTCCAGGTAAACATCTATTGTGTTCTCACTTTACCACAGGGGTACCACTAGCAAGTTTCATTGGGCCCATTGTAGCTTATTTCACAGTCCCACAAGCACTGAACACAATGAAATAATCGTAAAATGTTTGAATGAGTGCGCAGGTTAGTGTTCACTCAAGCATCAACAAAACCAAACTGCCTCACAGCGCCTGTGTGGGACGCAGACAGAGCGGGCTGCCGGACAGGTCCGGTACCCGGCGGTTCGAAAATTGGGGCGAGTTCGATAATAGGGACAAAGTTGGTTCGAAAAAATGGTTCTATTTTCGAAGAGTTCGGTAAGCAATACGTTAGAAATTTGAGGTTCCACTGTATCGGCAATACTTCTGCAAGCTGCAGGACTCCATGTTGCTGTTGGGTGAGCATCCAGCGCCAACTTTGCGGTCTTATATCTCCATGAGTACTGATCCTAAAAATTTTTGGTTGCATACAGAAAATTACCCTCTTCAATGTTTTTTTTTTTTCCCCAAAAAAAATATTTGGAGCACTGGCAGTGAAAATGTAGATCTTCATTTGGACAGTTTAACCCTTTGACTGTCAGTGTTGTATGTATACGTCATAAGAGCCAGTGTTTTTGACATATTAACACTCAAAAATTCTAGCAGCTTCAAATCAAGCGGGAGAAAGCTGGTAGGCCCACATGTGAGAAAATGGGTCTGTGTGGTCAGTGTGCACAGTATAAAAAAGTTCTGCAGCACGCAGTGCATAATGAGAAAAAACCGATCGTGTTTTTCTATTAAAACGCTGACTTTGAGGTGTATTTTCGTATAGTATTTATGGTTGTATTCTCGTTTTGTTGGTCTCATTTGATAGAATGGAAGACATATTACAGAAATGTAGGTGATTTTGATTGGCTTCAAAATGAAAAGGACCTTGAAACTGAGCTCAAAGTAGCGGAAATGTTCGATTTTTTTGCCAGTGTTCAAGCATCAACAAATAACGTCACCGTCCATTACGTGTCCAACTGGCCTGTCTAATACGCAGTTACAGGTGGGTTGATATAATTACAATAATACAGTAAATCTTTATTTTTTGTGTGAAAAAATTTCAAAATAGAAAGCAAGAGTAATATGAGGGGCATGGAGATGTGACTAATGAACAGATAAAATGTTATTTTAGTGCCAGGAATGTCTACATTGTATATTCTGGACCCTATTTTGAAATTGGCATCTTTTTTAATTTGCATGAAATTGGCCAAATTGCCAATCTGACCACTTTATTGGGTAGTTGAAATTGGTAAATGGGCAGTTTGTTGTACTCAATTGATGGAACAAATGGAATTCTAAAGAAATAGCTGAGTTTGGTCGACTGGAACAATGAAATTGGCCAAAAGTAGGGCTCAGAGTGGGCGAAATCGCCAATGAGTACGTATATATCATCGAGATTGCTAGCTTCACGAGAGCGTAACTCAGTAAGTTTTCCGTCAAATTTCATACTTTTGGTGTCATTACCATTGAGAAAGGGTTCTCAATCATTTCATAAGAATTTTTTTTCCCGAATGTTTTGCGACACTACAGGATTTGTGATCTCGATAGTCTAAGGGTTAAATGAATTCGTCGCTAAGTGAGGAGCATACTATAATGGTAGTGAGTTTGTGTTGACCATTTTTTATATTGTTTTAATGTAACCTTTGCACCATTTATAACATTTCTGGTACATTTTTCAGTGTTTATACAGTAGTGTACTAGATACTGAAATAAACAGAATAGAGGACATCATCTCTAATATACATTATATAGGTATGAATGCTGGTCAGAGAACCCATCATAAGTCCGAGGCGATGGAAAACGAGTACATCACTAAGTGAGGAGATGCTGTATATATGTTTAATAAGTGTATATGGTAAATGTATATTTTAATAATTCTCTTAATTGACTTTCAGGCTGTGGATGAGCAGGGATTTTCTTCAACGTATGCTCAGATGTGTCAGGTTCTTTCTCTGATGTCTGTACGTGGCAATGGTAACGATTCTGGAAACTCTGGCAAGTCAGAAGTAAAGTTTAGGAACCTCATCATTAACAAGTGTCAGAAGGAATTTGAAAAGGATAATACAGATGAGCTTAGGGTTAGAAGGTACAAGGAAATTGATGCCTGTAATGATGTAAGTTTAAATAAAGGTGTTTTTGTCATTTTTATAATAATTTTTCAGAAGAGATTGAGCAGTAATGGAAGTGCACTCTAGCACAGGTTTGGCAAGTTCACTTAAAGTGAAGATATACAAAAGGATGGTCTGCTGGTAGCAAGTTGAAAATTAATTTCTGAATTTTTTAAAAGCATTCATGTAGATCTTTGTGGTATAACTGACAAAATGTGTTCCTTGTCTTATTTTGTTACCTTATTTCAGTTTACCCGAGAGAAAATGGGACTTCCCTTTTTATGTGGGTGAAAGCTTCAGGTTGTCATGTCCTTTAATGAATCTCATAATTTTTTCCTTGAGTGGCATGATGCTGTTGTAGGTGGTGAGAAAATTTCAGATTTTGGTGACCACCCTATTGCATAGAAAAATCAATTTTTTAGTCTTTTGTAGGCATTTACTGCCTGTCCTTAACCTGTAAACGGTCCAAACTTATATGTACGTTTTTACCGCTAGTGCCCCAAACGTATATGTACGTTTTGTGTCATACATTTAACATTGCTACGATAAGCCGGAGTCACCTAGACATGAGAGAATGGGTATGAGCACTCACTGTGTGCCATATTAAAATAATTGGGGATGCCTGGGTACCATATGCTCTTTTTTCCTATTAAAAAACAGCAACAATTTCTCTCTATATATCTATCTCCATCAAAAAAGTTGGGGCAGTACAGTAGTGAACGTATACAGTGGACCCCCGGTTAACGATATTTTTTCACTCCAGAAGTATGTTCAGGTGCCAGTACTGACCGAATTTGTTCCCATAAGGAATATTGTGAAGTAGATTAGTCTATTTCAGACCCCCAAACATACACGTACAAACGCACTTGCATAAATACACTTACATAATTGGTCGCATTCGGAGGTGATCGTTATGCGGGGGTCCACTGTATATACGTTTGGACCATTTACGGGTTAAATTGGGGAGTTATTAATTATGGTTGCTATCCTTCCTGGAAGAAAGTTTTTAATCTTTCTTTCAACACACCGGCCGTATCCCACCGAGGCGGGGTGGCCCAGAAAGAAAAACGAAATTTTCTCCTTTTACATTTAGTAATATGTGGAGAAGGGGTTACTAGCCCTTGCTCCCGGCATTTTAGTCGCCTCTTACAACACGCATGGCTTAGAGGAAGAATTCTGTTCCACTTCCCCATGGTGGCAAGAGGAAATAAACAAGAACTAGAAAGAAAATAGAAGAAAACCCAGAGGGGTGTGTGTGTATATATATATATATGCTTGTACATGTATATGTAGTGTGACCTAAGTGCAAGTAGAAGTAGCAAGACGTACCTGAAATCTTGCATGTTTATGAGAGACAAAAGACACCAGCAATCCTACCATCATGTTAAACAATTACAGGCTTTTGTTGTACACTTACTTGGCAGGACGGTAGTACTTCCCTGGGCAGTTACTGTTTACCAACCTACTACCTAGGAAAGTTTTTAATGTTCGTATAAATTATTTAATTTTATTTCTTTACTGTCACTAAAAATGCATTAATTGCCTACTTAGTGACTGAACATGAGGAGGAACACTGCAACAGGCCTACTGGCCCATATTAGGCAGGTCTTTCTCAAACCCAGATCCAATTAACAAAAATATTTGTCCAGCCCATTTTCACTGCTACCCAGTGAATAAGCTTTAACAACACTATTAACTTGTGTGCAAATCCCGTTCAAATCCGAACTCACTGTTTTTGCAGAGGTGCTCAGAATACAACAGTTTAGAAGTATATATATATATAAAAATACACAACATATCCCTCGAAACTGCCAATACCCTAAACCCCTCCTTTAAAGTGCAGGCATTGTACTTCCCATTTCCAGGACTCAAGTCCGACTATATGAAAATAACCGGTTTCCCTGAATCCCTCCACTAAGTATTACCCTGCTCACACTCCAACGGCTCATCAGGTCTCAAATACCATTCATCTCCATTCACTCCTATCTAACACGCTCACGCATGCTTGCTGGAAGTCCAAGCCCCTCGCCCACAAAACCTCCTTTACCCCCTCCCTCCAACCTTTTCGAGGACAACCCCTACCCCACTTTCCTTCCCTTACAGATCTATACGCTCTTCATGTCATTCTACTTTGATCACTCTCTAAATGACCAAACTACCTCAACAAACCCTCTTCAGCCCTCAGACAAATACTTTTATTAACTCCTCACCTTCTAATTTCCACACTCCAAATTTTCTGCATAATATTTACACCACACATTGCCCTTAGACAGGACATCTCCACCGCCTCCTCGCTGCAGCATTTACAACCCAAGCTTCACACCCATATAAGAGTGTTGGTACTACTAAACTTTCATACATTCCCTTCTTTGCCTCCATAGATACCATTTTTTTTTTTTTCTCCTCATATACCTCAATGCACCACTCAAACTTTTTTTCCTTCATCAATTCTATGAATAACCTCATCCCTCAAAAATCCATCTTGTATTTATCTAACCTATATTTGAAACTTCCAAAGGTTTTAGCTTTGACGAGTGATGAGCTTAGCTTAGTGTTGATTCTTTTAATAAAAAAGTTGTATCACCACAGCAGCGAGGCCCAAAAAGAAAGTTTCCTTTTTTAATGTATACAGGAAAAGGGATTACTAGCCCCCTTGCTGCTCCCATAGTTTTGGTTATAGTAATTTAAATCTATACACATTGAATCTGAATCCATTATTTTAAGTTTTCTTGAAGTGTTATTCTTAAAACCTTGTTTATCTCCTCTTTGACCATCTTCCACTTGTACACTGTCTTTGAAGAATTGAGGCACTTGGCAACATATGGGAATCTTTATTGAAGAAACATTTTGCCACAGTGGCTTCATCAGTCCAATACAAAGCAGGAAGGTATAAGGAGAGGAGGAGATTGAGGTAATCAGTCCCTCAGCCTGGAATCTGTGTTCAGTCCATCAGTGATGGACTGAGAAAATTAAGAAATTAAAATTGTTGAATGACGAGTTTTGTGAGTGACAAACGATCAACTGGCACAGGTACCTATGGCTCGGGAAACGACGAAAACACAGGTCTTGAATGTGGCTGCTTTGTTCAGTACCTGATAAACATTAGAGTTAGTGGACTTGACACTTCAGATGACAAAATTATTGACTTTTGTCTGATTGGAGCATTTGTCTTTTTTTTTTTTTTTTTTTTCCCCTCCAAAATTGCTAAAATCTGTTAAAGGTTTTACTGTACTAGCTCTTGGTTTCTCTATTTGATGATTGGTGTGGAAGAGTTGGTGTTACTGTAATGCAGGTGAATACAGGGAGGGAGGTAAACTTTGTGATGGATGGTACATATAAGAATGTTTGTTTGTGAACTTTTACTTAATTTTTTGGGTAATGAAAAGCACAATGTAATAGGACAGATTCATTACTGAGCAATATTGTACCCTTATGTATTCTTTGTTGGCACACCAAATTACATAAAACAATTGTTACTAGTTGAGTATTATTATGCTTTACTTTTTTCCCTTTGTAGTTAAAATATTTAAGAAATTTTCTTTAATTGTAATTCATTTTTCCACAGCCTGAAAAGAAACTGGAACTAATTGCCAAATATGAGTATGATGAGACAAAGATGAGAAAGAGATCAGTAGGCAATATCAGATTCATTGGAGAGCTGTACAAGTTGCGCATGTTGACTTCTCCAATTATGATGCGGATTATAGGAACACTTTTAGAAAAGGGTGATGAAGAATCCTTAGAGTGCTTATGTAAATTGCTGTCTACTATTGGCAAGATATTGGAAACTCAGTGTTGTCAGCAGGCAAAAGCTATGGTTAGTAACTGTAATATTTTGTGTGTGACATGTACATGTGTGTATGTATATATGTATGTATATTATGTTTATTATATATATTATGTATATATATACAGGAAGGCCCCGCTTTACGGCGTTTCACTTTACGGCGTTCCGCTAATACGGTCATTTCAAATTATGACCAAAACTCGCTATACAGCTCCCCCCACCTGACTTTCTAATACGGTCACCGCACCCCACCTTGTTTGTTTACATTCTTCGTGAGCTCAGTAAGCACTAAGTCTCTCCATTTTGTCTGGAAACTCCAAAATTTCAAATGTTTTTAAAAGTTATTTCATATTTTATATATACTCTGATAATTATACTTATGTATACCTGTACTTAAATAAACTTACATACTGTGCTGGCATGCAGGTACACATTAAAATCAGTAAGAGTGTCTTATGTCTCCAGACGTCATATTAGTATTATTAGTAATGATAATAATCGTCTCATTTAAATGTCGTATATTACGTTAAATACACATTTTCATTAATCCATCTATGATATTTTTTCAAAATTATATAATAAACACGATACATAACATAAAAAGATGATAAATACACCCCACAATAGAATAAATAAACATAAATATGAGATGTGGTAGCAGACAACTTGCACAAGTGACGCCATATTAGAAATGCTAATAATAATAATAATAATAATCACCGAGTCTTATTAAATGTTGTATATTACGTTAATATACACATCTTCATTAATCCATCCATGATATTTTTTTCAAAATTATATAATAAACACGATGCATAACATAAAAAGATGATAAATACACCCTACAATAGAATAAATAAACATAAATATGAGATGTCGTAGCCAGATAACTTGTACAAGTGATGCCAGTAATAACATTTTCTCTAATCTAACATAAGAGAAAATGTGTTACTGGGGGCAACTGTAGAAAATTATTCCTTTCGTATGTATGTAAGTAAGTTTATTCAGGTATACACAAATAGTTACATAGGTTTATCATACATAAAAATATGTGTAGAGAACCTGGATAACCCAAAAAAAAATCAGAGGACTTTTTCCATTGCCCC